AAGATTAGCTGAACCGATAACTGACCTTTAATGTCGGTCGGTTTACGGTTTGGTTATCGGGTGGGCTTAAATTCTAGTTTAGACCTAAAATTGCTTTGGCCCAAACCCAGTTAATTTGCCCACGTCTATAAACTTAAATTGAATCCAAAACATTCTTTTCAAGCCCAAGACCATGTCATATGCTATGCATCATTTGGGGCCCAAACCAATTTGGTATTTTGTGTTACTGTGCCATGAATTATTTTACAACCTACAACTCAATCAAATAAGAGTAGAACATTAAAATGAAAATCAAGAGTGCAGGCTGTAGGCTGCAGCAACTATGCCAGTTTGCTTCAAAAATAGTTGTATAGCCACAACCATCAAAACTGTAAATCATTTACACTGCCAAAAATAGTAGTCTAAATACAAAAGTCAGTATGCTTCAAAAATCTGCAGTGCACCATTCAAAAATTCTAGTTCACCATTCCAAAAATTAGGAGTCTTAACAGTCTATAATCTGCAAGGTAAGTAGTGCAAACATAGATTTACAAACACAACCATGATTCTTAACAAAATACTTAAGATTAAAAACATAACGGACATGCTAAATTGATTAAAAACATAACTAAGAGTAGAATTTTTTTTGTCAAAGCAGTAGCCTAAATACAATGATCAATAGCAGTTGCATGTGTTCCACTCCCATCCAGTTCTAACATAAAATATAAAAAGAGTTGATTACATTTAGAGAAGTAACATTCTATAATAAAGAATAATAACAAGTTAAAACAATGAAACAATATATGTGTTACGTGAGTCAAGTTCAATGCTTTCCATGTAATCCATTGCATCTTGGCCATCAAAAGGATTTAGATATTCTAACTAACTTTGTGAACAAATAATGGCCTCAACTATTTTTGGGGATAATGAACTTTGAGATGGATCTAGTTCACGCTCCCTTGTACTAAACATAGACTCAAAAGCAACTGTGGATATTGGAATAGTTAATACATCTTTTGCAACATGAGAAAGGACGGGATACTAGCCGAATTTAATTTCCATCAATTAAGAATGTCAAATTCTGGATTTTTTTGCCTCACAACCATTACTCAAATACTAGTCAACCTCAGATTTAGTCTCCAATTGAGCACTACTTGACTCAAATTGAGCAAATACTAGTCAACCTCAGATTTAGTCTCCAATTAAGCACTGCTTGATTCAAACTGAGCATATATATGCCAAAAGGCTTGGCTAGTATCTACAACACTCGTACTTGAAGAACTAGGGTCACATAAAGGAGGATTAGAGACATTTTGCAACTGTATCTCACTAGAATTCCCAAAAACTAATGCATACTCATCATACAACTGGAATTTTTACTTTGCCCAACATTTCCTCTGCCTCATTTTTGTTTGTAGCAAAGTTTTGTTTGAACAAAAATGATAATGCACCCAACTTACATCGTGGATCTAGTAAAATAGCAACAAATATTAATAAATTTATCTTTTCAATATTTACCAAATATTTATCATACTTCTTCATGCTCATTGCCATGACACTCAAAGTGGGATCACGACTCTTACATAGTTTGGACAAACTAGTTTGAATAATACATAACTCTTGACAAAGTAAATTGCATGGGACATACAANATTTTGTGTTACTGTGCCATGAATTATTTTACAACCTACAACTCAATCAAATAAGAGTAGAACATTAAAATGAAAATCAAGAGTGCAGGCTGTAGGCTGCAGCAACTATGCCAGTTTGCTTCAAAAATAGTTGTATAGCCACAACCATCAAAACTGTAAATCATTTACACTGCCAAAAATAGTAGTCTAAATACAAAAGTCAGTATGCTTCAAAAATCTGCAGTGCACCATTCAAAAATTCTAGTTCACCATTCCAAAAATTAGGAGTCTTAACAGTCTATAATCTGCAAGGTAAGTAGTGCAAACATAGATTTACAAACACAACCATGATTCTTAACAAAATACTTAAGATTAAAAACATAACGGACATGCTAAATTGATTAAAAACATAACTAAGAGTAGAATTTTTTTTGTCAAAGCAGTAGCCTAAATACAATGATCAATAGCAGTTGCATGTGTTCCACTCCCATCCAGTTCTAACATAAAATATAAAAAGAGTTGATTACATTTAGAGAAGTAACATTCTATAATAAAGAATAATAACAAGTTAAAACAATGAAACAATATATGTGTTACGTGAGTCAAGTTCAATGCTTTCCATGTAATCCATTGCATCTTGGCCATCAAAAGGATTTAGATATTCTAACTAACTTTGTGAACAAATAATGGCCTCAACTATTTTTGGGGATAATGAACTTTGAGATGGATCTAGTTCACGCTCCCTTGTACTAAACATAGACTCAAAAGCAACTGTGGATATTGGAATAGTTAATACATCTTTTGCAACATGAGAAAGGACGGGATACTAGCCGAATTTAATTTCCATCAATTAAGAATGTCAAATTCTGGATTTTTTTGCCTCACAACCATTACTCAAATACTAGTCAACCTCAGATTTAGTCTCCAATTGAGCACTACTTGACTCAAATTGAGCAAATACTAGTCAACCTCAGATTTAGTCTCCAATTAAGCACTGCTTGATTCAAACTGAGCATATATATGCCAAAAGGCTTGGCTAGTATCTACAACACTCGTACTTGAAGAACTAGGGTCACATAAAGGAGGATTAGAGACATTTTGCAACTGTATCTCACTAGAATTCCCAAAAACTAATGCATACTCATCATACAACTGGAATTTTTACTTTGCCCAACATTTCCTCTGCCTCATTTTTGTTTGTAGCAAAGTTTTGTTTGAACAAAAATGATAATGCACCCAACTTACATCGTGGATCTAGTAAAATAGCAACAAATATTAATAAATTTATCTTTTCAATATTTACCAAATATTTATCATACTTCTTCATGCTCATTGCCATGACACTCAAAGTGGGATCACGACTCTTACATAGTTTGGACAAACTAGTTTGAATAATACATAACTCTTGACAAAGTAAATTGCATGGGACATACAAGGACCCAGATATTCGCAAAGTAGAATCATAGAAACTCTTTAGAAACTTCACAAAAACCCTCACATTTTCCCAATCAACAAACCGAGGAGACCTTTATGTCCCTTCACTAAAGTAAGGGACATATTGACCATCATCATCCTCTAATCTTTCAAAGGCATTTGGTATTTTTTGCAGCCTCAAGCATTAGATAAGTGGAGTTTCATCTAGTTGGAACATCAAGGCATACAAAAGTCTTACAATCAATTCTTTCTTTGTCTACACATCTTTTAAAATTTTCTATCATTGTCAGAGATGACCTCATATACCTCACAACATTACGCACCCTTATGAGTGAATCATTATGTTCTTTTAAGTCCTCACTCACGACAAGGTTCAAGATGTGTGTACAACACCTCATGTGAAGAGACCTCCCAATATATATTACCCTTGATGAGTCTTCTTAAATAATCTATAGCAACACCATTTGAGGAGGCATTATCAATTGTGATTGTACAAATCTGATCAATACCTCATGTAAGTAAACAAGCCTCCAATTGTTTTTCAATTGTGTCCCTTCTTTGATTAAGAATTAAACAAAAGATTATAATTCTGTTGTTTAACTTTCAATTGTCATCAATGAAGTGAGCAATAAGGCACATATAGTTAAGGTTTTGAATAGAAGTCCATGTATTTGTTGTGAAACAAAACCTACTATCCCTTTCATTTTTGATATAGTTTGATGCAGTCTCTACATAAAAAAAAAAATTAAATTGAACAAATTAAACATACAAGCTTAGATATAAAAAAATCGGGATTCAATGAATACAAATAGGCACGAATCAGATAAACAAAAAAAGAGAACATATAGAAACAATTTGTATCATACATATATTAGGTAGAATAATTTATGGTCTGATATCCAAAAAATTAGATAGAATAATTTATGGTCAGATTCAACCTATAGTCATGAACGTTTATGGTCAAAAAAATGAAAGATTTATGGTGTAGGTATTGCATTTAAGAAGAGAAAAATGAACGAATTCTTCGGCTTCTTTCAAGACCAAAAAAAAGAAAAGAAATGTATTTAGAAATGTGTATAAGAAATTAGAGAGTAAGACAAAAAAAGAAAAAAGAAATCGATAGTTGCAGAGAGATGGATGAACAGAAATAGTGAAAGAGAAATGCACCAGACAAGGAAGGGTTGAGATATGCTTCTACTCGATAATTGATGGCGTCTTGTGGTTGACTGGTGGATCCATGGATGTAGAATAGTAGAAGAAGAGGAAGTTTAAGATTTTTCCGTTTTAGAGAGAGATAAGAAAAGCGACGGAAGAGGTAGGGGTGTTCTCAAAAGTAGAAGTTTAGGGTTTGGCTGCTTATATATATATATATATTTTTATTTTTTTTTAATTTTTTTTTGAAGGACAAATTCGGAGTATAATCAATATATTAACATTATATATATTTTTTGTATTATTAATAAATACTATTTGGGCGGTTCGGTTAATTCGGTTTTGGACTTGAACCTATCCATCAGCCGAACCGATTTAATTAGTTAATCATTTTTTACTTCTAAAAGCGAACCAGGATCAATATTAACCACCTGTTTTGTATTCAAAAGGGTCAGTTTCGGTTCGGTTCTCTTTGTAAGGTACTCGGGTATTTTGCACAACCCTACGTGCACACGTGAACTCCTCTGGGTAAGCGTCGGATCACGTAATCTGCAGCCATGCTCTCTTACTGAATCACAACAACAAAGTGCTTCTGAAAAGTCCTCCATGCAATTAAATCTCGTATCCCAAGTATGTCTTTAAGTTTTTATATATTTGATGCAAGTGAAACGGTGCAAACATTATTTTTTTTTGACCTTTTTCTAACAAATGTTACACAATGACTATGACGGTTCACCATTCTCTGACACCCTATCTTGTAAGATACAATTTCTAATTTTCATTTCCTCTATTGTTTTTGCTTAACATGCTTCTCATTGCATTCTTCTGGATTCTTGTTTCCAGGGCTCCAATAGGCCAAGGTTATGGTCTCACTGAAACTTGTGCTGGTGGGACGTTTTCTGAACATGATGATACATCTGTTGGTCGTGTTGGTGCTCCACTACCCTGCTCATATATTAAGGTAAAATAAGAGTGGAGGAATTCCACATCAGTTCTCCATAACGTATATTCTTGGGTAAACATTCCTACCTTTATCAGTTGAGGGAATTCCATCTTGCAAAGCTCCCATCTAAAGTTAATATTTTTTTTTCTTCATTTGGCTAACATTGCTAACTAACACTTTATTTTACAATTTTGACGGTCCCATTGCCCCCATCCACCCTTGTCAACTTGTGTCCATATATATTTCAATTGGCATTTTATCTTTCTGGGGCTAACCTTTGTATGAGTGGCTTGTAAACTATGATCCTGGTGATCTACATTGCATTTGGGATTGAGTGCCATAGAAAGCTAATAAGAAATCATATCAATGTTCAAAAAAAGAAAAAGAAAAAAGAACTAGACGTTATTTTCAGATGAAAGATTACTATTCTAATCTAAGAGTTAATATATCCTGTCTCTCTCTCTCTCCCTCCTTTGTATGTTTTGCTTGAGTTTCTCTTGCTCCCCTTTATTTTTCCTACTCGAGTTGATTACAATTTTGATATGATCACTAAAAAATGATGGTTTAGTTGTCATTAATACATTCGATGCAAAGATATATCAACTCTTTATCATGATAACTTAATCTTCTGTATTTTAGTTGATAGATTGGCCTGAGGGTGGATATCTAACAAGTGACTCTCCAATGCCTCGAGGAGAAATAATTATTGGTGGGCCGAATGTCACGGTTGGATATTTCAAAAACGAAGAGAAAACAAAGGAAGTGTACAAGGTAATAACTTAAAGCATTATGTTCTCTTATAGTTCTACCAAAAGTGCTGGTCTTTCTACTGGCTTAAACTTTTATTCCAAAAAGGTTGATGAGAAAGGGATGAGGTGGTTCTACACGGGTGACATAGGGCGGTTTCATGCAGATGGTTGCCTTGAGATAATTGACCGGAAAAAGGACATAGTTAAATTACAGCATGGAGAATATGTCTCTCTAGGAAAGGTACAAGCATATTTAAGTCTTATTCAAGGTTCATTCATTTGTTGGTCAGATTTCAATGGAGACAGATGTTGTCCTTTACAGGTTGAGGCGGCTCTCAGTGTCAGCCCGTATGTTGACAATATTATGCTGTATGCTGATCCTTTTCATAGTTATGTTGTGGCTCTTGTGGTAGCTTCACAGCCCATGGTGGAAGATTGGGCTTCGAAGCAAGAAATTAAATATGCTGATTTGTCAGACTTATGTCTAAAAGAAGAAACCTTGAAGGAAGTTCATGGTTCACTCGTAAAGGTAATTTTTTATGATATCCATCTTTTATAAAGCCTTGGGGTTTCAGCATGATGTTGCTGAGAAGGCATGTTTATCATGAGCTTTCCTTTAATTCAACATTTTTATGCTTTTTTAACTCTCGGAGATGATATTTTGGTCATTCCACAAAAATATCTGCTTTATGTCCTGGCATAGGGTTGCACACGTAGTCAAGAATTACCGAGTTTGGGATGACAATAGCCAACGTTGCTAGACGTGTAGTTTATAGCAACCAATCTATGTGGCATATGGTTTAGAGCGATATTTCAGTGCTAGAGCTCACTTGTGGGCAACCTAGAAATCGGTGGACATTAAAAGGAGCTCTTTGCACATTTGCATATACCGCCTTTTCTTCCCTATATTTGACTCTAGGATTTCTTATCACTACGTCTTCCTGAATATAATCATATTGGCCAATCCATCTACTGTGTTGCTATTATGCAAGTGATAAAATAATTTATCTAGCCAGGAGGTCAGTCAAAGCTCATTCTTGCTACCTACTACTACTACCAGTCTGATCTCTTTCGGGCAATTATTCAACTGGAGCTTCTTAGTCTTAATTGTCTTCTCGTATCAACTGAGATTTACATAATCATCTGATAGGGGAATGGTATCTTCTAATAGTAACTCTTTATTTTCTTAACAAAATCATGGCTTCCTGTTGAATCTTCTGGGATTTGAATGGTGCTTAGACTGACATTGATCTTCGGTTAAATATTGCTATCACTGTTGCAGCTGCACCTTATTTTGTCAAAAGGCCTCTTTGAGCCTAGGCAGTCTGCCCTTTCATCTTTGTCCTGAAATAAAAATATTTCCTTCGCCTTTTCCAAACCAAAATTTACAGATCAAATGGTGGAGATGTGACATCTTGAATCATACTATCTAGCTTATCGTGGGATTATCTATTCATTCATTTTTGCACTCATGTGACCAACCTAATCAAACATTGTGCCAAAGGATTGCAAGACAAACAAAACCCGAGATAAAGAAAACGTTGGGATTTAATAAGCTGATAACTTTTGGTTGCTTCTGTCTGTCCCTTTTCTTACTATACAGGCAGCAAAGGATGCACGCCTGGAGAAGTTTGAGACCCCTGCAAAGATCAAACTGCATTCTGAACCGTGGACTCCTGAATCTGGCCTTGTCACTTCAGCTCTCAAGATCAAGAGAGAGGCTATAAGGAAGGCATTTTCTGAGGACCTTGCTAAACTATACAGATCATGATTATCGAGAAAATACAGCCTTTTTGGAGATTGTGCAGAATTTTGATTAATGGACAACCTGTGTAAGCAGCTACTCTTCATTTTTCATACAATTTTGTCACAATTTTTTCCCTTTCTTTTATTTCCTCTGGTTTTGTATTATTTTCAATTGTATTTAATTTTCGTTATGTTCATGTGAGAATTTATAATGATAATAAAAAACAGCAAGTTGCTTGTTGCTTTTGTGTTCTCAAATTCTGGAAACAATAGATGCTAAATGTTATTCTTTTGGGATATCTATATTCAGTCTCACTCAATATAATCTCCTATTATTTCACATATGAAGAACTGCAATACTTCCATTGGTGGTGGTTTACTCTCTTTTTGGTAGCATTAGGAAGTTGTTGAACCTTGCTTTTATTGGGATTTGTGGAAAAATGAAAACAATGCAGAATGTGAAATGTAAGTTGGTAGCTGGAGATGGGTAAGATTATAGTACCGATTTCCGTAATGTATCAAAAAATATGTTTAAAGGTCAAGGTACAATTTTTTAGGGTCGAATCACAAGTCAAAAAGTTCAAGTTCCGCTGTTTTTTTGGCGCTAACCTTCGGTCAGAGGGGCAAGGATCTGGACATGAAGACTCGGGAAAAAAAAAAAAAAGCATGCTATGTTTTTGAAGACAGTTCTACAGTTAATAACCATACTATTATGACTTGCACAGTTATATAATCTTCATCCCACACTACAACGTTTTTAAGAAAAGCTAGGGTTTATAAACGTCGGCAAAAATAATTAACAGCGTTTATTGCGACTGTCATATATTTTGCCGTTGGGAAAATTAACGGCGTTTTGCTAAACACCGAAAAGAATAAAAAGTGGCGTTTGTCCGGGCAAAAATTTAAACTTAAACGCCAATAAGCCTCCGGCGACTATAGTTACAATTTTTGATAATTATTTAAATGCCGGCAATTTAAATGTTTTTTTTAACGTAGTTCAATAGACCTATGCACTAAATCAAATATAAAACATGGAATACATCCAAAAAATTATTCAATTCAAATACACTAACCATTAAAGATTGCTGCTCAAACGTGAACAATATGATGACAAAGACATACAATTTCAGATAAGATAACAGACAGTGAGAATAAGATAAATTTAATTTAGTATGTGTGTATCAACCCCATAAATAAGATATATTCAAAATAAAATATATTTAATTTCACTAAAAACAAGAATACCCAGTTTGTTCATGTTACCCGCCACTAACATGGTTGCTTTAGAGAGTAACTTTTTTAAAATAAAGAGCATTTTGAAAAAAAAAAAATTAAAATAGACAGTAAAATGTTGTATATATACCATTCCAACATGACTTTTTATTCTTGTCAATTTATTATTTTATTCTTATTTTTCGTTGAACTCTTCTCATTCTTTCATTATTTCTCCTATTTCTTTAGGGTGAATTATACTAGAGGTCCTCAAAGTATGAAGTTTATTATTATTATTGATTGCATGATACATCAGCTTTCTTGAATGAAGTAAAAAACGTATTGGAAGAGTCATAATAAACTATATATAGGTTTATTAGTGACTTAGTGATTTGATAAGAAACATTGAGATTTGATAGTATCCAATTTTATTAAGTTACAGTATTTTATCCTTATAAATAAAATTGAGTATTATGCAATCAATTACCAAATGATCAGATTTCAGTGAATAATATATCCATATAGGTTTTTAGTCCATAAATGTAGGAATGGTGTACTTGGAGGGTATGTTGTATCAACCTACGTTATATCTTTGTGTCATGTATTTATTGTTTTTCCTATCTTTGAATATTTCTTTTTTGACAAGTATTATTTGTGTTAATTATCTACTGTGTAAAACCAATAGATATTATATTGTTCCCGTTGCTTTAGTTTTGTGATTGTTTGTTTGGGACAAAATAATTTGATTTTTGGATTGTAAAAATAGGCAAAAAAAAAAAGAAGGAAGAAGAAGCTCTTAGGTCTTTTAAAAGGGCTGGTGAAGTTATAAGCTCTTGTTAGAGGCTATTTGGCATGTAAACAAGCAATTGCAACACTTTGTAGCATTCAAGCTCTAATACGATCCTTGCCCAAAGAACCTGTTGGATCATTCAAATGCTGAAAATTTCAGCTTCAATTTGGAGCACAAAAATTTATCCTAAGACCCAATTTTTAGATGCTTGTTAATATAGACTTGAATGTTGCGGGAGAAAGATCCTTGTTAATATTTTATCATTATGTTTTATCGACGGTCATATTTTTAGCTCAGACACAAATTGCCGTATCTTTTTGTACTATCGAGTAGTTAATATTACTACCTCAGTTGCCCAAAATGATATTTCTCAAAGTATTGGGTCCGTTTTGCCTTTTTTCTTAGCACCAATGCACTTTCACGTGCAACACATATGTGTACAAACTAGTTATATTAAATACATAGATTTTTAATCTTGATATATATAGCCGTGTGGGGTTGGTTCAGTAATTGAAAAAGGAATGACACCTAAACTCTTAAGTTTGAGTTCTACTGACCTCATAAAACACAACTTCAGCCAATGCGTGAAATTTATGGATGATTATGTGACATTAATGGTTTGATCATGACACTAGTATGAAAAATTTGACATTAATTATTGATGCCACAACTTCATTGGCATTACCATGTAGACCAAGCAATGCCATGAGTCATGGCTTGACCGGAGTATGAATAGAGATTAATGAGTTTTCTTGTTCATTCATGCTTGGGATTGGGCATGCAATACCACATTATTCACTTGTTCTATTTAGTATTTTCAGGGGAAGTCTGGGATGGTTAAAATTGTTGTTTTCGTCCCATCTACTGTACTGTAGCATATTGAATGAGTGGCCGGTTAAGTTGTTGCATTTGTACTTTTGCATGCAAGATAGGGGCGCAATTTGGGTTGGGCAAACCAATTTCAACCCAAAAAAAATTAGGGTTTGGGTAAGGGTTTTTAATACTTGAGTTGGGTCAAAAAATTCTAACCCGAATGTAATTTGGGTTAGGCTCGGGTTAAGGCCTTAGGTTCACGGATTCAACTCGAACCTGACAAATTAAAAAAAAAATTATATATATATATATATATATAAAACATTAGCACTGATTTTTTATTTTTGGTGTGAAAGCATATGATCAATAATCGTGCACTGTTATGACTGAAATATATGAATTATGTTTTATGAATTTATAATTATTCCCCCCTCTCTCTGTCTCTCTTGCAGTGGATTGGTGACAATAGTTTTTATGTTATGATTATGGTTTTTATGTTAAAAACTCGATTGAAGTTATTGGTTGTTAATTTATGTGAATATTATATATTATATGTATTAGGTTTAGAACAACAAACCTATTTTAGGTTGTACCCGAACTCAACCCGAATTGAACCTGTAAAGTAACCCGAAATCAGCCAAAAATCATTAATTTGAATTCAACCCGAACTTACCCGAATTAAACTCGGGCAATGCTCGGGTTGAGTTCTTCAACCCGAGGTAGGGTTAGGATTAGGGTTAGAGTTGAAGATTATATACATGGGGTTGGGTTAGGGTTGATTATCCAACCCGCCCGAGTTACACCCCTAATGCAAGAAAAGTCAAATCGGAGATAGTATTTTATGATTTTTATGCTTAATTATGCACAGTGATGATTTACAGAGATAAACAAGTTTTACATAAAGAGTATAAAATGACTTTTTACATAAATAGTGAAATTGGATTGTAAAACATATAGTTAATCGGAAGAGAAATTGATAGTGGGATTGGACAAAGAAATATACCACTCTCGTAGGCCAATTTTATTATCCAAGTTTAATAAAAGTACTTTTTTCAGTCATTTTTTTGACAATTAAATATGTATTTCACTCCAATTTGTTAAAATTAGAACACAATCTAATCAACTTTCTAATTAAGAATAATTAATTCAAATAAATATTTTAAATAAAGTTACTAACTCTAATCAAACTCTATTAATTACGAAAACACTTTTTCAATATGAATTTCTCTAATGAGACCCAAGTTAATATTACTTATCGATTTAATTCAATATTTGATTTGTTGTGTGAATTTTTGTTATTTTTGTTGTGTTTTAGTATCTCTGTCCAGGTTAGTAATTTTTTATTTAACCATGCTATACTAATCCAATTTCACGACGGTGAATGTAACAATTGCATTTAACTTTCCTCGCACTTAATGAAACGGCACCGACTGCGCCGGTTCATGTTTAAACTTTAAACCAATTGTGTTGAAAGAAACAACGGTCTAGCCACGTGATTGCAACCCACCGTGAATTAAGTCCAAGTCCTTCGTAAAAGGGTTAATTGTAGTTTTTAATATTTTAATTGTATCATTTTAATTCCTGAAATATTAAATATATTTTTATGTATTCTTTTAAGCAGATACCGTCCAAATTACTACAATTTTTGATTATAAACCTATCACGTAATACCATTGATCACATTGGACAATAAAATAATTTAGATAACTCCTGACCAAATTTTTACCAAAATTTTTGTCAAAGAGCTATCAAAATTATACAGCTTTGATCATGAGCTATCCAATTTTTGGTTAAGAGATTTTCAAATTTTGGTCAAGAGCTAATCAAATTGTTTTTTTATACATATTTAGGTATTACGTGACAATTTTATGATCAAAAAACACATAAAAAATATTCAATATTTCATAGACCAAAATGATATAATTGAAATATTGAGAATTAAAATGAGACAAATTCTATATTTTCGAGACCTTTAGCACAATTAACCCTAACCCTAAAGCCCATTTCTAATTATAGGAAAACGATTGATTGAATTGAAACAATGCAACACATGTATTGTCTGTTCCTTGTTTACGGGAAAATGAAACTAGGGTTGTGTTGGTTCAATTTCAACCAAGTATGATCACTCAATTCATGGGCCAACACTTTATGTCTCATCCCTTTTTCAACAACTATACCAATCCTCGTGCGGCTATATATATCAAAGCTTCACTCCCTTGTTTCTCATGTAATCTATCATCTCTCCATCTATCCTTCAATTCTCTTCCACAATGGAGATTCCTACCACTAAAAATCAGGCTTTTTTTTTCAAGCATGGATGGATGCTTTTGTGCTTTGCAACTCTTTGGAGTCCCTATCTCACTTTACGTGATTGCGGGTTTCCCGCCATATTTAACTTTGGCGACTCTAATTCAGACATTGGTGTGTTTTCTGCTGCATACTATCCCATTACTTCACCATATGGCGAGACCTATTTTGGCAAGCCTTCGGGAAGAGCCTCTGATGGACGACTCATAATTGATTTTCTGGGTACATATCTCACACTTTTAAGTAGTGTACAGAATTGACAACATGTGGTCAGGACAAGAGTGAAATGCTATATCTCCATGATTAATTGTTTGATTGAATGCTGTGATTTCAACAAGAGATTTGCGCTTACCTTTTCTGGGTGCTTATCTGGATTCATTGGGGGCCGATTACAAGTACAAGCAAGTTGCGAATTTTGCAGTTGGAGCATCCACAATCAAACCACTTGGAAGAATTCTAAAACGCTTTTTTAACCTATGTCCACTATACCTGGATATTGAGTTAACACAGTTCTTTGAATTCATACCTAGATCGCAGACTATTAGGAAGCAAGGTATAATTATACTTGCATAATTCTATTTGATGTAACCTACGTTGGTTGAAATCGATGTACAAGTTCGTTGGTGATTCTATTCTCTATATTGTGAAAACTAATTCGTCTATCTACTTATCAAGAATAAGTATATGAACTGAGAGTTTGTCCTTCTATAGGAGGTATGTTTGCAGAGTTGATGCTCTCGAATGAGTCTTTTTCCCGAGCCTTATACACAATCGATATGAGCCAAAATGACTTCGGTAATGGATTCACTGACACCACTATAGAGGAAGTTAATGCAACAGTGCCTGATTTAGCCAAATTGATATCCAAACATATTCAGGTAATCTTTTAATTCTTCTGTCCAACATAATTTTAGTTCACTTGATCCTTGGGCTTGCAAACTCAAGTAAAAATAATCAAATTTTGCAAAGATTCCTACAATGCATAATCAAGAAATGAAAAAAAAAAAAAATCAAACACTGCTTTCATACAAAGTATTAATTATAATGTTATGGTAATGTAGGGACTGTACAATTTGGGTGCTTGCTCATTTTGGATCCATAACGCAGCTCCAATTGATTGCCTTGCATATATTTTGTCGCATGCAAAACTAAAGCGACACGAAATTGATCGTGCCGGCTGTGGAATACCTTCCAACGACGTTGTTCAATATTACAATCAAAAGCTGAAGGAGGAAGTTGTTGCTCTCAGAGAAGGATTACCTGATGTTTTTATCACTTATGTGGACATCTACTCAATCAAGTACTCATTCTTTAGGTGGCCAAGAAAGTATGGTAAGCCCTTACAATATGTTTCTCTAAATAAAACAGATTTAAAAAAACATACACTAATATGAAAAGATTTTGTAAATCTGCCCAAGTTGAGTTCGCTGATCGAACAAAGGGCAATTTGTTAATCAGTATGTTCCGAGTTATAGTTTCCTAACATTAGGCTATCCAAGTCATGTAAATTCACTAGTTGAATAGGATGGGTAACGCTTTTACTTCAATCACATTACTAAAATTCACAAACAAGTTACATTTACCTTGGGATGAAATTCCAATTACTTTTCATCTATGATGTGCAAGTTTTAAATCACCAATTTCTGTGTGTTGTGGTTCTGGGAGAGGCACATATAATTTTAATGGCTCCAAGCCATGTGGATTTTCTCCTTCGTGGTCAAACCCATCGGTGAAAGTAGTTTGGGATGGATTACACTACACCGATGCAGCTAACAAACTTTTTTTTTGATATGCTTAACACTGGAAAATTTTCTGATCCACCTGTTCCCCCGAGATTTGCATGTCAACTAAACGCACAAGAAGTCACAAATCTTATTCCTATTACTAAAAAGACCATTTCCCAGTTTGGTTCTTTTTAATTAAGGGTGTTGTGAGGGGTGGACTGAGTAATATACTTAGTATTTGATGTTATAATAAGCACGAAGTGGTTGCGCTCATATTCGGCACACCCTTGTGGTTGTTATCCCGATTGAGCACCTTTTCATTACAGTAGTCAACAAGCTCTATCACTATTTTGATTATTACTATATATCATGAATAAGACCCACCCCTCAAATGTAAAATATATGCAAATGCAATGGTGATTTTAATGAGAAAAAGGATTCAATATTGAAGGAGCATGTGTTATATTTCACATCTCATTGCACTCCGAGCGCGATATTCTATTGGTTGGTAACATGTTATTCTACTTTTCTTGTGGACTATTGGTTTAGGGGTACGTTGTTTTATTTTGATCTATTGTTCCAAGTAGTTAATTTCCCCACATGCGAAAGTAGAGTTGGGTACATTTAGCCCTCCTTAAACTCTACGGTGACAGAAGGTTCGTGTTCTATATTGTGGTGGTGCCCATGGGCGATTCATGAAATTTATAATTTCTCCCTGTTGAAAATGGCTAACACAACTGGTGAAAATTTCAAGTGTGGAGTAATTACAAAAAAGTATTGGGAGTNAAAAAAAAAAAAAATCAAACACTGCTTTCATACAAAGTATTAATTATAATGTTATGGTAATGTAGGGACTGTACAATTTGGGTGCTTGCTCATTTTGGATCCATAACGCAGCTCCAATTGATTGCCTTGCATATATTTTGTCGCATGCAAAACTAAAGCGACACGAAATTGATCGTGCCGGCTGTGGAATACCTTCCAACGACGTTGTTCAATATTACAATCAAAAGCTGAAGGAGGAAGTTGTTGCTCTCAGAGAAGGATTACCTGATGTTTTTATCACTTATGTGGACATCTACTCAATCAAGTACTCATTCTTTAGGTGGCCAAGAAAGTATGGTAAGCCCTTACAATATGTTTCTCTAAATAAAACAGATTTAAAAAAACATACACTAATATGAAAAGATTTTGTAAATCTGCCCAAGTTGAGTTCGCTGATCGAACAAAGGGCAATTTGTTAATCAGTATGTTCCGAGTTATAGTTTCCTAACATTAGGCTATCCAAGTCATGTAAATTCACTAGTTGAATAGGATGGGTAACGCTTTTACTTCAATCACATTACTAAAATTCACAAACAAGTTACATTTACCTTGGGATGAAATTCCAATTACTTTTCATCTATGATGTGCAAGTTTTAAATCACCAATTTCTGTGTGTTGTGGTTCTGGGAGAGGCACATATAATTTTAATGGCTCCAAGCCATGTGGATTTTCTCCTTCGTGGTCAAACCCATCGGTGAAAGTAGTTTGGGATGGATTACACTACACCGATGCAGCTAACAAACTTTTTTTTTGATATGCTTAACACTGGAAAATTTTCTGATCCACCTGTTCCCCCGAGATTTGCATGTCAACTAAACGCACAAGAAGTCACAAATCTTATTCCTATTACTAAAAAGACCATTTCCCAGTTTGGTTCTTTTTAATTAAGGGTGTTGTGAGGGGTGGACTGAGTAATATACTTAGTATTTGATGTTATAATAAGCACGAAGTGGTTGCGCTCATATTCGGCACACCCTTGTGGTTGTTATCCCGATTGAGCACCTTTTCATTACAGTAGTCAACAAGCTCTATCACTATTTTGATTATTACTATATATCATGAATAAGACCCACCCCTCAAATGTAAAATATATGCAAATGCAATGGTGATTTTAATGAGAAAAAGGATTCAATATTGAAGGAGCATGTGTTATATTTCACATCTCATTGCACTCCGAGCGCGATATTCTATTGGTTGGTAACATGTTATTCTACTTTTCTTGTGGACTATTGGTTTAGGGGTACGTTGTTTTATTTTGATCTATTGTTCCAAGTAGTTAATTTCCCCACATGCGAAAGTAGAGTTGGGTACATTTAGCCCTCCTTAAACTCTACGGTGACAGAAGGTTCGTGTTCTATATTGTGGTGGTGCCCATGGGCGATTCATGAAATTTATAATTTCTCCCTGTTGAAAATGGCTAACACAACTGGTGAAAATTTCAAGTGTGGAGTAATTACAAAAAAGTATTGGGAGTGATTAAATAGGCACAATAGTCTTTAATACTTCCCATGAAAGCCTAACCAATTTTAGACCTATTAACTTCAATTGATTGATTATTAAATTAACGCTTAGTAGGAACACTAGCACAACCGTCAACACGATCATAGACTAGAGACAACAAATTTGGGATAATTTCTTCTTAATAGATATAGCAATATGACAATTGACTATTATATGAGGTGAATTAGACAATGGAATAAACACAAATTATGCAAACAACGATTGCATAAGATGTGCTTACATTCATGTTCAACCAAAAACCAACAGACATTTAATAACTGAAAACCAAGATCAATAGTCGAGAAAAAGCTCGAGATTTAGGGGACTCCAATAAATCCTAAGGAAAAATATTATGGATGCTTTTAGATTTAGGCTTTTTAAGAACTCCTCATCTTCTCTTAATGCTATCCATTAGGTTGTCTTTTAATTTGGCTTTCTACTTCTTTGAGGGGTGTCCATTCCTTTCATGTTGGAGCCTATGTGCTTCTTATTATTTCCCTTAAAATATTGATCTAATTATCTCAAAAGTGAACCAGATAGACTTGAGTAGTGTATTGCTTTAGCCAAATTTAGCTTTCTTAAATATTATTTTTTTTGTCACTATATTCGACTTGAATTGTTAGGAACAAATCGTCTCCACTGGATTTGTTCCAGGATGTACCCTAAAAAAAAAGAAAATTTCTTCTCTCAACCAGTTTGGGTTAAGAAGATGTGAAAACACATTTCCCTCTATAAGAACAGTGCATTCCAAATTGTATTGTATTAGTAGCAAAACACAATAGGGGATACCCAAAGTGCAGTCTCGTCCTCTTTTATTCAATCAAGATGAACAAGGCTGCCCTAATTTTATTGAAGTGTAACATAGGTCTAAGAGTACTATGCAGCATATTCTGATAATACATGAAAAGGACTCTTCCCATGTCTCATAAATTTGGCCAACTAATGTGAATATTTGTGGATCATAAGATAGACCCCTCAATGAGTTCACAGAAACTTACTGGTAAAAACAAATCTCAACAACTTCACCTCTACAGAGCCTACTACATTCTATTTGTTGGTCAATGCACTCTTCCCAAACATCAATTCTACAAAACCCTCTGAACTATCATGGTGTGAGAGAAGATTTTACATTAATGAGATAGCCATTTCCTCCATGGCTTTAAAGGGGAAGTTAGTGCTTGTATTCCCACTACAAGAAAAATGGTTTTTGGTGGCAAAAAAATTCATCTCTAAAAGTGAATAATTCGCCGCTAAAAGTTTTTTGCGACAAAAAAACTTGGTCGCTAGTTTGTCGTGGTAGGCTCGCCACTGAAAGTTTTTGACGACCAACTAAAGTATCGTCGTTAAAGTAGATTATTAGTGACAAAAAACTTAATTGCTTAAAAATTCATCTACTTGTCACAAAAAAACCGTCGTCGCCGAAAGAAATTATAATATGACCATATTTTTTCTCTTTGGCGATGACGTAATATTTGTCTCTGAAAATCAAGATACATTTTTTGCAACTAACTTATTTTCGTCGCTGAAAGAAATTATATTATGGTCATATTTGTTATATTTTAAGATGACATAATATTTGTCGCTGAAAATTAAGGTACATTTTTTACAACTAACATATTTTTGTCGGCAAATAACAAATGAATACTCTCACTTTTAAATAATAGGTGACAAAATTTATTTGTCACCAAAATAAGATATTTTAGCTACCAAATTTTACTCATCGCCAAATAAAATCATTTCTAAATAATGACATTTTATGATTATTATTGTCCTTGTAACAAATCAAAATAAATTTACTGTAGTACTTCAATTGTTGAAGATCATTATAAAATAAATAATCCATAAAACAAATCAAAAAATAATTTCCAAATCATTCATTCAAAACACATTTAAAAACATTCATACAAGAACTCCTACCAAAACAGTCGTCTATAATTTCATAATAATTTCTCATACCAAAACATCCCATGTAAAAAACTAAACTGAAAAAAAATTAAATGCCACAATATCTAGATGCCACAAGAACTCGAACTACTTGGATCATAGAGAAAGAGATCTCATTGCCAAAACCAATTCCAAGTAATCCACTGTTAATCTGTATCAAACACAGCAAAAGTGCATTAGCAAAACTAAAAAAATATTTGCTAGAATAAATAGTTAATTAAGCATATATTTAGAACTGAAAATACTTACTAAGATGAAGTCATCATGCTAGTCTCTCTATTGCCTCTGCCATGTTACATCGCCAACTTTACCTCTGTCATTTGCCGCAACATCATCTAGTGTGTCTTTTCCATCTGCTCGAGTTTTGCCTTAGTCTCATCCAACTCTCTTTGTCTGCTTCCATTTTCACCCTGAAGAGTCGCAACAACTACTCTCAAACCTCTTACCTCCTGCACATGTTCAAAAGTTTTGGAAACATTGATTGAAGAAGATGATTTCGGGCCAACCCCATAACTGGACCTATTGCCAAGGACAGTGCATACAATCTCCTATTGAGACAATGGGAATGCAACATCTTCTATTTGTTGATCCTTCAACTCCTTCATCTATTCCTAAATTTTTTAAAAAGTTATAACCCAACAACAAAACTTATGTATTTTGAAAATGGAAATACAGAGACAATTGATACTCTTACATGTCGAGACTCTACTTCTGGTGAAATCCACTTCATTGAATTCTTGCTGATGTGGGTTTTATAAAAGTAGTCCACAATATGAGGTGGCTCATATGTTTCAGGGTCCAACTGTTTTTAGAAATTCACGTGAAACTATATACTTTCAACATTTTAAACAAATGAAAGACAAATAATTTTAAGTTAAAAAATTATAACCATACCATGCATCACAAAAATAAAAGACTTAGAACCTATAGTGTGATTGTAGGATAACTTAGCACGATTTTCAGAATTTTTCTTTGATCGTTTCTACAAAAAAAAAATTTGTATTAGAACAACAAATTACTCATTTATATTGCATTAAAAACCATAAACAAATTACCTAAAAGTTTTGATCCCTGTAGACTTGTTCTATTATATAAATCCAATTATCTTGACTAACTTCTCGATAAGGCTTACGTTTTGGGTCCACCTCAGACTCCACCAATCTAATGTAATACTTGTGCATTCTACAACGATCATGACTATACAACTTAGAAAATTTTTTGTCAATGAATTTCGCAACATGATCAAATTCACCATATCCCACAACATTAAACTTAGTCTGCACGAAAAAGTAGTATATCATTTCAAGAAAAAATAAATATATATGTTAACTAGAAACATTAAAAAAAATTAATTACCAAGAGTCTTGCAATGATAGGGGCCTATTTTTCAATAGGTAACTCGTGTCATTGGGTCACATCCCTGACGGGGACAAAGCCCCTATCCAGGGTTCCAATCTCCATGATAAAACGCTGTGCATTTTTGCCAACAGGAGCACCCACACTTGCGGGGATCTCAACACGTAATTTTCCATGTGCTGCTAATAACTTCTCTTTAGCTTTTCCTCGAGTAAGACTTCGCCCTTGTCTCGACGTCGATACTGTCAAGCTCAAAACAAAATTGAATAATATAAAATAGTTTAGGTTCAATTTAAGCAAATAAAATCATACATTTGTTGCTATCCTCAGTATGTGGACTAGGCGTAATCGATATCAGTGAACTAATCGTCCCACCAAATGGCACATCTGAACGTGCAGGTGCAGATAAGCCAAGTTTACGTTTTGGAGGCATATGTGTCCTGTAACATTAAGATATTCAGGTGATTATGCAAATATTTAATCATAAATAAAATAAGTAAAAAATAATGAATAATTATACCATCGCCTAGTAAATTTGCCTAAAATATTCTACATATTTGGATCAACATCAGATTCAAAAATGCTATTCATATCCTTTTCAGAATTACTATACTCCAATAGTGTCTCACCATCGTCATCACAAATGAAATCATCATTGATATTATCATCTTGTCTGTTTTCAGATGTCA